GTTTTTGTGATCAGTCTTTATCAAATATTTTTCAAAAGTATAATTGTGGAGGAAGAGGAAAAATAAAATGGAGAAAAGAAGGTAGCTTAAACAGAGAACATAACAAAAATAGCTACTAGTCAGGTGTGGTGGCACATGCCTTTGATTCCAGTGCTCAGAAGGCAGAAGCAGGCAGAGCTCAAATTTGAGACCAGCTTGTGCTACATTGAGAGTTCTAGACTAGTCAGGGCAACAAAGTGAGACCCTGCCTTAAAATTAATGTCATTACCATAGTGAATGTCCTAGTTTCAATTCTGTTGCTGTAATAAAACACCGTGACGAAAAGTAACTTAGAAGAAAGGGTTTATTCATCTTAAAATTCCAGGATACACTCCATCAGAAAGTCAAGACAGGAACTTAAAAGTATCATCTCCACAGGCAAGAGAGGAAAAAAAAAAAAACATAAATCCTTGCTTGGTTGCTTACTGGTTCTCAGCTAGCCCCTCAAAATGAAAGAATGGTGCCTCCCACAATGGCTACGTCTTCATACATGAATCAAAAATCATGTTAATCCCTCAGAGACAATGCCCACAGGCCAGCCTGATCAAGGTAATTCATTAACTGAGACTCCCTTCTCAGGTAATAATTGTAGACTGTGATAAGTTGACATTTAAAACCAACCATCGCAGTGAATAAACTAGAGAAGGATCCCAAAGTTATCTCTGGGAAAAGATACGAAACTAGAGAGATGAAAGAACTGTAGTATTACTAAGTGCAAACACCTATTTACCCCCTACTCTTGTTATAGAAAATGTTTGATGAAATAAATAAACTTGGATCTTGGAGAAATTCACACACACACACACACACACACACACAAAAAGTCTTAATTAGGTGAGACTGATCATTAGACTGGTATCATGTAGCAATGTTAAGGTACAAACTGTGATATCAATAAATGTATCCAATCAAGTTGGGAATGGTAACTTAGGCTTACATCCAAGCACAAGGACGGGGGAGGCTGAGACTAGAAAACTACCAACAGATTAGTATGGGCTGTATACATAGTGAATTCAAGGCCAGCCTAAGTGAGATCCTGTCTCAAAACACCAAAAATCAAACAAAATCCTAACATACCGTATTTAATACATCCTCCATTTTAAAGTCTTTTTTGTTATTTTTGGAGGCAGAATCACACTACGTAGTTCAGGCTACCCTCAAATTTACTAAGTAAATTATCTAATTTGGCATCCTCTTGCTCAGCTTCCTGAGTGCTCATTTCCAAGCCTGGAGCTTCTGTGGCCTTCTGAGACACAGTCTTGCTAGCTAATCCAAAGTAGAACAACTTAGGCATGGTGAGCTGACCAATAAAAGAATTAAGTAACCTGATGAGGATCTCAAAATTAATCAGTGGATGAATCAGTATTGGGATCAGGTCATTCAACTTTGAATTCTTAAATATCACTTAAACTAACTTTGAACAAAGACAGATCAACTCACATTTCCATTGCAGTGGCTGAACAAGTAATCCCCTCTATTTGCAGGGTAAGTCTGCAAGCACCCTACCTGCTTTCCAAAGAGGCATGATTTACTTGAGGTAGCAAGTGAAAGACGGACAGGATGAGCGTCTTCCAAGTGGAAAATAACTTAAATTTTTTTTATTACAAATCATCAAAAATATAAAAACTGAAATGTCTTCTATTTCCCAAAATGTCAAATCTGAAAACAATAACTTCTTGATTATGAGATAGTAATTCAAATAAACCTCATCTGGAGGAAGAAAATTAACATCCACATATGCTGATGCTTCACAACTCTGGCAAAGACTAATTTTGCAATTAGTGGAGTTCATAAGCATATGCAGTGAGAAAGTCATGATTTTTTAAAGTAAAAATTAAGACAAGTTATACTTTTAGGAAGACTTTAATAAATTTATTCATGAGGTAATAAATATAAGTAGTTGTATCTATACTTTCAGCCTTTGTAGCTGACCTAATTTCAGACTGAAAGAAATATATTTCTGTAATCCTTTTTGGTTACAGACTTGTCCTTAATATAAAATATAAAACTGTTAAAAATACTAATTTTATATTAGAGCATATATACCTTTAAATAACTCAATTTAAAGCCTAAAAAAAAACTTACGTATAGGAATTTCAATACTTTTGGGAAAACTTTAAGGCAACAGTTTTTCTTGCTATTGAAAAAAAAAAAGAAGCACATGTCTTTAATCCCCGCATTTGGAAGGCATTAGCAGGAGATCTCTGTGAACACAAGGCCAGCCTGATCTTCAGAGTGAGTTCCAGGCCAGTTAGGACTACAAAGAGAGACTGTCTCAAAACAAACAATCAAACAGAATCAAAGAAAAAATACACAAGTATTTGTTACATGAAAAAGATTTAGCTGTGGTCTTAAACACCCAAAAGGAAAGTAAAACCAAAGAGTAAAGTCATCAGTGTATTTCTTTAAGAGTTCAAGGGATTACACTTCCCAGACATTAGGCTTGAGTCTATATAAAACGTTATTTATACTATTTTTTCCTCATTGATGACTTTTCCTAATCAGAAAGTGCTGCTCAGATGTAAGCTTCAAATCTTGGTCTGCAATACTGTAGCACCCACCTGTAGCCAAGGGAGACAACCTGCTATTCTTCTAGAATGATGGATAAATCTGCCCACCCCCCAAATCTGGAATCTTTTGAAAGGGAATTGGCACTCACTCTAACCACTCCAACAACTATCAAAATACCTGAAAGCAAATCATGAATCCATCACTCTCGAGTCCAGCCTTGGCAGACAAAAGAAAAATGAGGAGGAACCCAACAGAGGGATGATTTTGGAAGCCCTTGTCAAGAAACTCCAATGGACTCTCATATGACATTTGAAAATTGCCCTGTTATGACTGTTTTCTAGTTCCCTGTCTAGAACTTATAATGCTAATTACTCTTGCCTTTTCTTCCCCTTCACAAACAAACAAAAAAAAGAGTTATGCAATTTGGTAGTCTTTTAGATAGACCCACTGAAGGGGTACCCCAATTGCCTCACCCTGCATCCCTGTTCAGCATGGAAGAAGCCAGAGCAGTCTATGTCCCGATTCCCTATCCACAAGTTGGGTAACCTCTTCAGAGGATGGTGTGATAAGAATAGGAGGTGGGAATTGGCTAGGCAGTTAGGGTAAAAAAGACCCCAAAGAAATGTCGCCAGTTTCTTGGCTAAAAGTCACAAATGTCCTTGGGCCTCTTAGCAACATACTCCATTCCAAAGGCCAAAAATGTCTATAAAGTATTTGGGAGTTCTTATCTAATCCTTAAAAGATTTTAGGGTTACCTCATCAGAGGGGGGGAATGTTAGAGCAGTAAAAAGCCCCATATAAAGAAAGAAAAGAAGAAGAAAGAATATATGAAGTTATCAGAAAAAAGTGATGGGACCATATGGGAGGAGTGGAGGGGAGGGAGTGGGCATGGATTTGATCAAAACACCTTATATCCATGTATGAAATTCTCAATAAATTATTACAAAAAGAAAAAAAAGAAAAAAGAAAAAGATTTAGCTGGTCATGGTGGCCCACACCTTTAATCCCAGCACTCCAGAGGCAGGTAGGTCACTGTTAGTAGAAGCCAGCCTGGAATGGTCTATATTGCAAGTTCCAGGCCAGGTGGAGCTACACAGTATGACACTGTCTCAAACCACCCCCAAAAAGAGGGAGGGAGGGAGGGAAGGAGGGAGGTTGGTTATTACACATGAATCAGGGAAAAATCTATTTTTTTCAGGCATTAACTACACATAATACTTAGGTAATGAAACTACTAAAATGTAGTTCATATTGGGCTATGCACTGAGAGAGGTTTGAGAGGGAGAACAGGACACAAGACATTTCACTCATGTACACATGCAGAAATGAAAACTGACACCAGGTGTCATTCTCTATTGTTCTCTCCCTTATTTTTTGAGCCAGGGTCTCTCACTGAATCTGAAGCTCACTGTTTCAAATAAACTGTCTGGCCAAAGAGCTCCCGAGATCTGTTTGTCATTGCATATCACAGCCCTGGATTTGCAGATCTGCACCACACTTGGGTTTTATATGGGTGCTAAAGATCTGAATGCAAGTCCTCAGGCTTGTGCAGCAAGCATTTTACCCACTGAGTCATTTCCCTAGTTCCTGAAAAGTAATTTTATTTTTTAAGATTTATTTTATGTTTATGTGCATGTTCTATGCAAGCATGTGAGTGCTCTTGCAGGTCAGAAGAGGGCATCAGATCCCTGGAACTGGAGTTATTGAAATAGGTGCTAGGAACATAACCTGGATCTTTTGGAAGAGCAGCCAGTACTCTTAACTACTGAGCCATCTATCTCTCCAATCCCCCTAAAACTTAATTTTTTTAAAAACTGAAAATGAGGGCTGGAGAGATGACTCAGCAGTTAAGCGCACTGGTTGCTCTTGCAGAAGACCTGGGTTTGGTTCCCAGCACCCACATGGTAGCTAACAATTATCAGTAACTTCAAAAGATTCGACACTCTCTTCTGACCTCCATGGCCACTACACAACACAGGTGCACTTATATACATGCAGGCATTACATTCATACATATAAAATAAAATAATAAACAAACAAATAAATAAATATGAGACTAGGAATGAACCCAGTGTTAAAGTACATGATTAGTATTCACAAAGCCCTTGACACTAGGGGAAAAAAAACTCAAGAGAAAAAAATTATAGCTGGTACAGATCCACTTCAGTGCTGAGAAACTAGGAATGATATCTATTTACTGTTTGTGAAAATAAATGCTAAATGTAGATTAAACATTATGATTTAAGAAAATATATAAAAATAGTAAATTAGTTTATCAATAATAACCTCTTACATCAAATCAATCATCAAAGAAATTAAAAAATAATACTTTTCTTTCCTATCCTTGCTGGTATTTCAACTATCTTTATTCTGACTCATCAAGATGGACATAAATGAGCAATATGAGGTCCCTTTACAGGAACAAATAATATTTAGGTACTTGTACTGACCGGCTCAGAATCATAGCAATAATCATCCCAGCTCTGTCTGAGGGGTTTCTTTGTTATCTGAAAGTAAGGCAGATTAGTTAGGTAGTTATTAGGTAGTAGTTATTAAACTTCTGTAATGATCTCTGAGATACAGTATGAAAGAAGCACTGCTGCTATCCAAAGAGCAGTTACTTTACATAGCAGCACAAACCAAGAAAGTACACAAACTTTCAGATCCTGGTAGATCATATATCTAAATGATATATGATCCACTCAACTCATACATGCCATGCCCAATGGTGCTGGCATGCATATTTAGCACTAAGACCTATATCCTATGAGTACTGACATTACATAAGTAATGGCCACTGATTATACAAAGACCCAGAAGACAGTAAAATTCTGGGTTAATAACAACTACCACCTCACTTATAAGTGATTAAAACTTTGCTTAAAAAAATATTTAACCACCCAGGAGCTGAATTAGGAATATCTTAATATTGTGGAGGAAAAATGTCTCACATTCAAATAGAAAGTAACGTAACTTTTAAGTTCTTTATATATTAATATAAAGTTAAGGTAGTTTATATTAATATGATGTTTTAAAGTTAAAAAATACCAAGTAGAGTATACTGTACATTTAAGGAAAAGTCCCAGATATTACTTTCATAATCCTAAATATATAACTATAATTTTTGACTCATCAAAGTGTCAATTAATACAAAATCTTCGGGGCTGGAGAGATGACTCAGCAGTTAAGAGCATTGAGTGCTCTTGCAGAGGACCCGGGTTCGATTCCCAGTACTCACATGGCGGCTACAAACCATCCTTAACTCCAGTTCCAGGGGAATCTGAAGCCCTCTTCTGACCTTCACGACATTGCACGACATGCATGCCCTCACATACATGCAGGCAATACACTCATACATGTAAAATAAAAATAATAAAAAAAAAAAATTCCCATAGAAATTACATTTTCCCTCAAACAAAAAAACGAGGAGGTAATTCACAACTTAAATGATCTAATATAGTAGTAGTTCCTTAATACTAGGTTTAGATTTTTTTTTTTTTTTTTTTTTTTTTTTTTTTTTAGAAAAAAAAAAAAAAAAAAAGAGGACGATAAATCTTTCACTGTGATATATCAAATCTTGAACTCACAGCGATTCACCTGCCTTTGCCTCCTGAGTGCTGGGACTAAAGGCATGCGCCACCATGCCTGGCTAGGTTTAGAATTTTAACGTGAAAAACAAAATGGAAAAATCAATGCCATAAATATTTTTACGAATCACTTCTCATTATGGAAGATTAAGGGTGACTTCGGAATTTTAAAGAAAGATGCAAATTCTTTAAATCATTTGATTTTGAGGAATTTCATACTGGTATTTGGCAATAGGGTCTCACATTGTAGCCCAGACTGGCTGGAACTCACTACATGGCCCAAGATGGTCTCAACATGTGGTAATCCTCTTCCTTCTGCTTTGCAAACACTGGGATTACAGTCACAGGAACCATACCTAGCTTCATAATGAGTGTTTAAGAGGGCTGTTCATTAAATTATACAGTAATACTCTAAGTCAATAGTATATCATGCAGACATATGTGTACTAGACTACAAAACATGCAAACCAGGTTTCAAGAAATCACAACAGTTAAGTATTAATCATTAGTTACATTTAACATTCTGGGATATGTAAAAGGTAAATCACTTTGAAAAGAGTTCTTTTTATGATGATGAAGTTTCAATAAATAACTTAAAATACTCTTAAGGAATCTCACAAAACACAAAAACAACATATGTAACTAACTTTTTGCCACTTATATGAAAGTCATAAACATTTTTTTTTAATTTGGAAGCTACATCACATAAATCTTTAAACTGCCAATATGAAAGTACTATTTACCATCCATTACCAGGTTTGAGAAGGAAAGCACTACAAAAGAGAATTTTTTTCAGTAACGAAAATGTAATTCCCTCATTTTCAAAATGTTTTTCATAAACTCTCACCTGATTAAGATAATGATATTCCTCTGGTTGTTTAAGGTGGAATGCTAACCTCTCTTCTTCACTTGCTCCTGCCAGGAGGTAATAGAATACATGATAGTTCCTGTTGGAAATAAAGTATGGCTTAATAATGAACATGATTTACAGTAATTACTTTTAAAAATATTTTTATTTATTATTTTTATTTTATGGGTATGAGTGTATTGCCTGCATGCATGTGAGTGCACCCATGTCGTGCAATGTGACAGAGGTCAGAAGAGGGCATCGGATTCCCCTGGAACTGGAGTTAAGGACGGTTCAAGCCATCATGTGGGTGCTGGGAATCGAACCTGGGTCCCCTGAAAGAGCAGTCAGTGCTCTTAACAACTGTGCATCTCTCCAGCCCACAGTAAATACTTTTTAAAAGAGCACCCACATTAAAATTACATTTTAATTAGTAAAATGTACTTGATTTGCTTCTTTTTGTTTGGTTAGTTTTGGTTTAGTTTGTTTTTTTGGTTTTTTTGAGGTGGGGTTTCTATGTAGTCTCAGCTGGCTTGGAACTCCCTATGTAGAACAGGCTGGCCTCAATCTAACAGAGATCCACCTGCCAAAGCATTGTCACCATACCCAACCTGATTTGCTTCATTTCTAATGCAATGTGACAAATTCAACATCTAAGTATGCCTACAAAATAGAATGTAGAATACAGAAGAAAGGGATAAAAGCAGTGAAATGGCAAAGCTAGGAATTGTGAAAATTTTGTCTTCTGTAACACCAATGAAAAACTTCACAAATTTTCTGAATTAACTTTTTCAGAGTGCCAAAAATTAACCAAAAGCTTGCAGCAATCCAGGGACTACTTAACAGCTAGACCTAACACATTAACTATAGAACACTCAAACAACAAGTGTGTACATATTTTCTCAAGTCCACATCGAACATTTTGGGACTAGAAAACAAGTCTGAATATATTCATGTGAAATCTAACAACTTTGTAATGAAATTAAAAACCAGTAGCAAATTTTCAAATTCAAAAATAAGTGGCCAACAATATCATACTCATAAATAACTTATGAGTCTAGAAAACAAAGAAAATGAGAAAGTACTTTGGAATGCACAAAAACAAAAATACAATAAAATCATCCCTTGGTACATGTAAAGGACTGGTTCTAGGCCCTATGCAAAAGCTGAAGGTGCTGACTTCCTTTATACAAAATGTGACTGTATTTGCATATAAAACATGCATGTCTTCACATATACTTTCAGTTATCTCTAGATGCAAATAGCCATGTTACTATATTATTTGGGAAATGAAAATTTAAAAACTTTACACTTATTCAGTACAGATGAAAATTTTCCACCTAAACAATTTTAATCCAAGATTTTTTGAACACAGATACAGAACACAGAGAGCCAATTTATTCCAAACCAGGGGAAACCATTGGAACAGTGCTTAGAGAAACTTTTTACCAGAAAAGACATGATAAAAAGAAAAGATCTCGCCAGGCATAGTGGCGCACGCCTTTAATCCCAGCACTCGGGAGGCAGAGGCAGGCAGATCTCTGTGAGTTCAAGGCCAGCCTGGTCTACATAGTGAGTTCCAAGACAGCTGGGGCTACAGGGAGACCCTGTCTCAAAAAGACCAAAAAAAAAAATAAGAAGAAGAAGAAGAAAGAAAGAAAAGATCTTGAAACTATAATCTAACCATCTGTCTTAAGAAAAAGTTGAGAAATGAAAAAGCCATGTGTGGGGGCTAGAAAGATGGCTCAGTGGTTAAGAACACTGGTTGTTCTTGCAGAAGACCAGGTTCGAATCCCACCACCCACATGGTAGCTAACTACTGTCCATAACTCCAGTCCCAGGGGATCCAACAGCCTCTTCTGACCTTCGCAGGCACTACACAACATAGGTGCACTTACCTACATGCAGGCAATACACAAATACATAAAATAAAAATTATAAATAAAATTTAAAAAAAGAAAAAGCCATGTGTGGAGGCTCATACCTACAATGCCTTAGGAAGCTGAGAAAGAAGACTGCTGTGAGCTCAAAGCTAGCCTAGGGTACAGGGAGTTCTAGGCCAGACTGTAGTACAGAGCGATACCCTATCTCAAAAAAAAAAAAAAAAAAAAAACTAAAAGTAGTTTAACGAGGTCTGATTTGTAAATTGTTGACCTTAATCCCTAAGCGTAGGGTACTATCTATGTTTTCTTCTAAGAGTTTCATCATTTCAGACTTTACATTAAGGTCTTGATTTATTTAGAGTTCACTTTCAGGCAAGGTAATAGGTATGGGCCTAATTTCATGCTACCTGTGGAGATCCAATTGTGTCAGCATCACTTGCTGAGATGCTGTCTTTCCTCCAGTGTATGTCCTTGGCATCTTTATCAAATACCAAGTGGCTGTAATTGTGTGCACTCATATTTGAGTCTTCCATTTGGTCCCATTGATCTACAAATCTGTTTTTGTGCCAATACCATACTCTTTTTATGACTATGGCTCTATAATATAGACTGGATTCTGGTATGGTGATTTCCCTGGCACTGTTCTTTGTGCTCAATATCTTTCTTCAAAGATTTAAAGTTTTCACTGAATAAATTTTTAATGTCTTTGGTTAGGTTTATCCCTAGATTTTTTTTTTGAAGCTACTGTAAATGGAAGTATTTCCCTGAACTCTCTCTGATTGCTTATTATTTGCATATAGAAACACTACTAATTTTCTGTACAGCAAAGGAAATAACTAATCAAGTAAAGAGGAAGCCTACAGAATGGGAGAAAGTCTTCACCAGCTTTTCATCTGACAAAGGATTAATAACCAGAATATACAAAGAATTCAAAAAAACAAAGAAGCAAGAAAACAAATGACCCAATTTAAAAAATGGGTTATGAATCTCAACACAGAGATCTCAAAAAAATAACAATGGTTAAGAAACACTTAAAAAGTGTCCAACATCCTTAGGAATTAGAAAAATGCTAATTAAATCCACTTTAAGACTTCATCTAATCCCAGAGTGGCTAAGATTAAAAAACAAAGAACTGCTGGCACAAAACAGGGAAAGGGGAACCCTCATCCACTGTTGGCAGGATTGCAAACTAGTGCGATCACTATGCACATCAGTATAGAGAACTTTTTTGGGGGGGGGGTCTTTTTGAGACAGGGTCTCCCTATAGCCCCAACTGTCCTGGAACTCACTATATAGACCAGGCTGGCCTTGAACTCACAAAGATCCGCCTGCCTCTGCCTCCCAAGTGCTGGGATTAAAGGTGTGCACCACCACACCCAGCATTGGAGAACTTTTTTAAAAAACTAAGAATAAACCTGCTACACAATCCTTGGCACATGCCCAGTGGACCCATCCTACTGCAGAGATACTTGCACAGTCATATTTATTGCTGCTCTTTTCACAATAGCTAAGAACTGGAAACAACATAAATGTCCCTCAACTGATGAATGGATAATGAAAATGTGGTCCATTTACACAATGGAGTTCTAGTCATTAGTAAAGAAAAATGAAATTTGCAGGTAAATGGATGAAACTAGAAACTGTTATACTAAGTGAAATAACACAGACTCAGAAAAACAAGTGGCATATGTTCTTTCTTATTTGTGGATCTTAGCTAGAAAACCCTATAGTATACATCCCTTTGTAACCACAGGAGTCAGGAAAGTGGAAATGAACAAAGGGGATAAAGGGGAAGTAGGCAAGCGTGCACGAGAGGGGCGGGGGAGAAATATTAAGGGGGAAATGAGGAAAGGGGGGTTACTTTAACTGAGGAGTAGGGAGGGTCATACAGGGGAGAGGGGGGTGAAATAAATAAAGCTTAGATGATATGAAAAACCAGAGGAAAATGGATTAGTTCAAAGTGCCACTGAAGAAAACACACACAACAAATATAGGAATACATGTGTGTAGCTGAAGGCAATATAACAAAAAACACACTGCTGGGCAGGAGAAACCTCCCTTCAAGTTGTTGGTCAGGATAGTCCAAAAGATTCCCAAAATAACATAGGCTATTGCCACAGCCCTTGACTGCTACCAGAACTTGAAGGCAAAACTCTTGTGGAAGACAGGGTATACTCTGATAGATGATTTAGAGCAATCCAGCTGGAACTGACCTGGAAGCCTCCTCCCCTAAAGACTAGCTCTCATGGTATTAAAAGATATAATGCAAGATGCCAAGGGGAAAAAAAAATCAATCAATGGTCCTACCCAGCTGTGAAGCCTAATAAACAATGATTGGCCCAGCAAACTATCACTACTGGTGGAGCAGTGGCACTTTTTTCTTGGAGGTAAGCAACAGCTATCTAATTGAACTTAAGGCCTATTCAATGGGAGGAAACTCATGTACAGTACTGAAAACATAGCCAAACACATATAGCTAGAGAGGTCACAGATCCTAAAGAAAAACCTACTTTTGCCACATTCCTAAACCAATGTAATTTCTTACTTTATTCTAAACATGCATCCTTTTATTTACAGACAAGTGTAACTTTCACCCCTCATCAAAGAAGCTTTTTTTGGCAATAGATGGAGACTATTAGAGAATTCTAGAACTGGTCAAATGTAGAGAATAAGTGATTATAAGATGTTTAACCCTACCTAAGTGACACATCTTCAATACAACCTCTACACTTAGGATGAATGAATCTCTTAACTCTCACCAGAGAAGGTTTCATAAAGAGCAGATGGTGATTAATACAGAGACCCACAATTAGCCAATGTGCAGAGAACAAGAGGTCACAGAGTACTTATCCCTTAAGAGGATGACTATTTCAACCTCTGCCTCCCAAGACTCAAGGATCATTGTAGAAGAGGGAGGCAGAAAGATTGTAAGAGCCAGAGGTGGGTGGATGACCACAAGGAAAGAGTTTTGCTAACAGCTGGTCAGTTATTCATATAAACTCACAGCAATGGTGACAGCATGCACAAGTCCTATGCAAGCTCAAACCAAACAAAACCCCAGCATCGACATGGGGAAGTAAGAAATCCCAATGCAACCTAAGGAACTTTTGGCAACTGATGGCTGCTGGGAGGAAGGGAAAGACAGTGTCTTACAGGGTTGAGACTCTTGGTTAGCCCAGTGAATGGAAGCACACTGAAGGACTTTCAGGAACAGAAATCAGACTCTAAAGGCCATATATACATAAGCGTTCATTAAATTTTGGAACTGGGGCAGTGAGAAGTAAAGGTGGGGAGAAGAGAGTGGATCTAAATGCCATCAAACTATACTGTTTGAAAATTGCAAAAATTCAATTTTTAAAAAATGCAAAAAAAGAAAGAAAGAAAGAAAGAAAGAAAGAAAAAAAAACTAAAACTAGAAGCAGCTTTAACCCCAGCACTCAAGGGGAGCAGAGACTGGCAAACCTCAATGAGTTTGGTCAGCCTGGTGGCATACATAGTGATTTCCAGGTCAGTCAGGGCTACATGGTGAGAAAAACAGAAAATACAACTAAAACTAACAAAACAAAAAGATAGAAAAAGAAATTAGAGGAGGAAGGAGGAGAATAAACTAAGGCCAAAACAAACAGAAAGCAAGCAATAATAAACATTAGAGAATAAAATGGGACTAGTAAAGATATAACACCAGTGAAACAAAAAATGATTCTTTGAAAATATGCACAAAATTAAATCAGCTGGGTGTGGTGGCACACGCCTTTAGTCCCAGCACTCAGGAGGCAGAGGCAGGCGGATTTCTGTGAGTTCAAGGCCAACCTGGTCTACATAGTGAGTTCCAGGCCAGCTGGGGCTGCACGGAGACCCTTTCTCATAAAAAGACCAAAAAAAAAAGCAAAGAAAATATGCACAAAATTAAGAAATCTTTATCTAAACTGATAAGAGAGGCTGACTCAAATTCAGGAATGAGGGAGGGAAAACATTACAACCAAACATAAAAATGAAGTGATGGTATTTATTATTCTCTTCCCTGAAGATATAGTTCTAAGATTTAATATTTTATTATTTTTATTTTATGTACATGAATGTATTATCTGCAATATATGTAAGGGTACCTGTGTTGTACAATGCCCATACAGGTCAGAAGAGGGTGTGAGATACCCTGGAACTAGAGTTATGGGCAGTTTTTAGCTGTCATATAGGTGCTGGGAATCGAGTCTGGGTTCTCTGTAGAGCAGTCAGTGCTCTTAGCCACTGAGCCATCTCTCAACAGCACAATAGTATATTTTTACTAAGTTAATATAACGTACATAAAATGGACAGATTCCTAGAAAAATGTAAGCTTTCAAATCCAACTAAAAACCAAGTCTACACAAATCTACAATCACTTAAGTGTTTGAATTAGTAATCAAAATTTTGTCTGAATAAAAGCCAAGAACGAAATGATTTTTCTAGTGAATTCTACCAAATATTTAAAGAAGTAACTCAATCCTAGAGAAACTGTTGGGGAAAAAAAAGTACAGTAAGGAACTTTTCATTTCATCCTATGAATCCAAAAATATCATGAAAAAAGAAAGCCTTAGAGCATTATATCTTATGAATACAGCAAGAAAACTTCACAACAAAATACTAGCAAATCAAATCTAGCAAAATATTATATCCACGTTTATGTCCACATCTGTAAAACAAACATATCAAAATAATATCATCTGGATCTTCACCTCCCATTCATTTTCAAATCTAAGAAATCAGGCTTATAATCTTCATTCAATTGTTTGAAAACATTACTAATTATCTTCTAATACTGGGGATTATATTAACAGTCTTGATCATGTGCACTGCTGAGCACACCTATAGTGACAGTCTTCTCCCCTTGTATTCAAACTCCTGAAATACAGAGCTCCTCTTCTTTTTTGCAAATTTTTTGGTAGTAGTGATGGTGGTGGTGGTGGTTTGTTGAGGTTTTTATTATTTTTTTTTTAAGCTTTTTTGAGACAGGGTCTTACTATGCAGCCCTGGCTGATCTGGAACTCGCTATGTAGATGAGGTGACCTAGAACTCACAGAGATCGACATGGCCCTGCCAACCAAGTGATAGGCATGCACTGCCATGCTGCGCATTTCTTCTGCTAGCCACAGGAAGGGGACACACACACAAAAAAAAAACAATAAAAAAAAAACTTAACCAAATTTTGCCAATAATTCATTATGATAATGTTAGCCATTAATTACTGACCTTTCTATACATGAGGATCATGTTGAACATCTTATAAATATTATTTCATTTAAGCCTCTTGAAAAATATAGAAGGATTTTCCATTTGTAAAATAAAAATAAATACATGGAAAGAAGTGAGATGTCCAACATATATTCAAGATTTCAGTACAAAGCAGTTTAACTTCACACTCTGGTCACAACTTTATTATAACACACTGACACATACAGCAAATGATTTACTGAGGTATATATCACATATGTCATCTCTAAAGTCCCACCTACTTCAACCATTACACTGTAATTAAGAACTTTTTTGAAAACTGATTTTGTTTGCTGATCATAGGTTTTGGAGAAAGGGTCTAACACTATATCCCAAGCTGACACGGCACTCACTATATACCCCAGGCTGGCCTTAAATTCACAGCAATCCTCCTGAATAAGCCTCTTAAGTGCTAGGATTACAGGTGTGAGTCACTGTGCCTGGCTGAGACCTTCTTTCAGGTTGAAAAAGAACAGTAAGAAATAGAAGAAAGGTGCAACAGTAGATGGCTCACAAGGCAGATGATTCAAGGAATTATCACCTGAAAAACCATTTTCTTGTGCTTAATTTATCTAAAATCGAGAAAAAACAACAATTCTATGTATCCAATGAAAATTTCCTAACTGACTGAAAAACAATCGCATTCTGTTCATGAAAGTAACAGCAATTACAAATAAGGCTACTATGAATGATATACAGTGAATTTAAGGACATAATACACAGAGAACCTAAAAGTGAATCTCTGAGGCTGTTAACTTGACCTAATTATACAAATAAAAATACATACCGTTCATTATGCTCTTGATAAACAAGTCTGGATTTCTCTAAGAGATATTTTTCAACATAGGCCCTGGAAGAAAAACAAAATTAGTTGATATTAATAAAGTTTAGGGGCTGGAGAGATGGCTCAGTGGTTAAGAACACTGGTTGTTCTTGCAGAAGACCCAAGTTCGAATCCCAGCACCCACATGGCAGCTAACAGCTGTCCGAAACTCCAGTTCCAGGGGCTCCAACAGTTTCTTCATTGCATGACACGGGTGCACTTACCTACAGGCAGGCAATACACAGATACACATAAAAATAATAAGTAAATATTTTTAAAATATATTAATAAAGTTTAATATAAAATAAACATAATTTAGACAGTACAAAAGCAAAAGAATATTCTCCAGATCATAGCAGTACATTCACCATTACAATTGTGTTACAGATGATATTAGCATCATCCAAGTTCAATTCCCAAAGTTCTAAGCCATTGTATGGCTAGAGATCGAGGGGGGGTGAACTACATCAACAGTTAATATAGCATAGGCCATAAGAATAGACTTTTTATTCTATAAGTAATGAAGAACTGAAACAACAACTGAATCTGATTTTATTTTCTTTATCCAGACTATTCCCTTCAAGTAGTTCTTGGGTACCTCTTGCCCAAATTGAAGAAACTGACTCAGATCTCATCCAAAAAGAGGCCTCTATAATCCAAAGTTTAAATTTTTTCAAACCACTGGATTCAAACCACTTATACAATACTTACTGGGTTGAAATTTGACTCTTAAATTATAGTTCTCCCAGCTCAAGAACATACGTTCTACAACTCAGTCACAAATACAGACTACTTTTCTCAAGTGTATCAATCACTCCAGATTGGAATGGCCATACCCTTCTTCTTACTTCTAATTCCTCACTCTGTTCCCAGTCTCATTCCAGTAAATTTCATTCCATCTTTAAAATGAAGATGATTTGCTATGACTTCTGCTATCAGTTATCACTTCTGGAGGCAAGAGAGATGGTTCAGTGGTTAAGAGCACTGGTTGTTCTTGCAGAGGACCAGGGTTCAGTTCCCAGCACCCCCATGGCAACTAACAACTGTACATAACTCCAGTTCCAGGAGATCTAATGCCCTCTCCTGGCTTCTGCAGGCATTGCACACACATGGTACACTTACATACATGCAGGCAAAAGACTTATACACATAAAATAAAAATAAATTTAAAACCATCACTACCCTCCCCATTCTAAACTACTAAAATAGGCTATCTCTCTAAAATAGGGAAAAGGGAAACAATATGGAGTAACAGGTTAAATTCTCATAACCACCCTACATAACAAATATTACTACTCTTATTTTATAAATGTAGAAATGGAATATTAAGAAAATATACCAGCCAGGCAGGAAGGCTCATGCCTGGAATCCTTTACTCAGGTATCTAAAGTATAAGAACTGCCATGAGGTCAACAACAGCTGTGCAACATAATGAGTTCCAGGTTAGCCTGGGCTGAATGAGACCTCACTGAAAAAAATAAAAGCAAAAACAAAACCATACACTAGCATTGGCCACACAATTATGATGTGAATCCAGGTCTGTTTTCACTACAAAGGCTTCAAAAAACTTCAATTACACTACTTCCTAGACATCTTTTCTTCTTCCATCTAATTTAAATTGTACTGGTACAAAAGTTATAAATTCAAAGAAAGAGCTAGTCACATCATTCCTCTACTTTTCCTGCTTACTATAATGGTATATGCAGAGATAAACTGATATTACATGTGTTTGAGATTTTTTTTTAATCAGCATAGAAAACAAAGAGACAAATTAAACTTGGTAAAACTTAATCATTATTGAATCTGCCTGAGTTTTTGTTCTAGTTTTTCATTTTGTGTATATTTAAATTTTAGATAAAACATTCAAAAATTTGGGTCATAATATCAAGAGAATAATTACATATTAGGGTTTTAAGCTTTTATGATTTCCTTTTTTTTTATGTGTATAAGTGTTTTCCCTGCATGTATGTAAGTGCACCTATGTCCTTCAATGCCCACAGAGGCAAGAGAGAGTCTGGATCCCCTAGAACTGGAGTTTTGATGGTTGTTAGTCACTGCCACGTGAGTGCTGGGAACTGAACCCAGGTCTTCTGGAAGAGCAGTCAGTGCTCTTAATCGCTGAGCCATCTCTCCAGTCCACAAATACTAGTTTTATATTCACATTTTGACATCAACTGATCACTATGACCATGCTTTCTATTCTTTTTTCTTACCTTCTCAAATATAGGAAGTTCTTGTTATGATTCCATTAATTTACTAATACCAACTCTTAAACTGATAAAATGATTCCCCAGTGTTTCTGCTCAGCACACTTTTAATATACAACATAAAAATCGTTGTTTTTTAAGAAGGCCTCCAAAAACATATTTTAATCATTCCTATCATCTCATTCTCTACATCAACTTAAGTATCTTTCTTACTAAAAATACTATGAAAATTTTAAAGGCAAAAAAAAACCTACATCTTCTTATATTTTCAATACTTAGAACAATGTCTGACACTCAACATTTACTCCACAAATCTTTGCTTGATAAATGAAAAAAATGAAAGAGTTCACAGTGCCTGATACATATTTGCTGCTTTATTCAGTTTTTGTTCATCATGGAAGTAAGGAAATGTTTAAACTTTTTGTTGTTGTTGTTGTTGTTGTTTTGGTTTTGTTTTGTTGAAAGGGTCTCCCTGTAGCCCCAACCTGGCCTGGAACTCCCTGTGTAGACCAAGCTGGTCTCAATTTCACAGAGCTCCATCTGCCTCTGCTTCCTGAATGTTGGGACTGAAGGAGTGCACCACCATGCCCAGTTCTAAACTTTTTAGGTAGTCAATCAAGAGCTTCAATTTCTTTTGAAAAATGAAAATAGACATCTAATTCCTAACTCACAAAACTGTCTTAAGAATCAAAGACACATACAGCTTTGTAAGTTAAAAAGCAACATGGATGACCTTACCAGTCTCTTCTGAAGCACAACTAGAAGCCTGCTGCATCCCACTTTTATGAGAAAAAAAATACCAACAAGGACACTGAAAACTGATGAGTCTTGAGAACCAAGAAATTATCTATGAAACTTACTATTGAAAAAAACTTCTCTTGTTGCTGTTGCTGCTGATGTTGGTTTTAGTTTAGGTTCAATGTACACAGGAGCAGAAGATTCTATACATAGCAATTTTGGCCAAGTTCTGCATTGCTTTAAATGCATTAGTAAATTCGTAAGACTTAAGTATAACACAAGGTGTGGTGGTGCACACCTTGACTCTTGGTGCTCAGAAGGCAGAGGCAGGTTGTACTGTGAGTTCAAGCCAATCTAGTACACACAGTGAATTCCAAGCCAGCCAGGACTACATACTGAGATCCTTTCTCAAAAAAACCAAATAAACAAAAAAGTCAAGTATAACAGGGCATGGTGGCGCACGCCTTTAATGCCAGCACTTGGGAGGCAGAGGCAGGGGGGTCTTTTTGGGGTCGAAGCCAGCGCGGTCTACATAAAGAGTTCCAGGACAGCTGGGGGGACAAGGAGACCCTGTCTCCAAAAAAAAAAAAAAAAAAAAAAAAAAAAAAAAAAAAAAAAAAAAAAAAAAAAAAAAAAAAAAAAACAAGTCAAGTATAATTTAAATAGCATTAAAAAGTACAGATCAATGTACTTATTAATTGAGATACAAAAATCATAATAAAAACTAACAAATAGAAAACAATTAAGTTTTATGTTTGTGCATATAAATGTGTATTTGTGCATGTATGTGCTATGTGCGTGTTTGTATTGGCCGAGTAGGATTATTTTGGCAAGAACGCAAATTATCCAACCCGGAAAACAATTACAGTATATATTTCAGAATAAAGATATGTTTATCTGGGAGCTGGAGCGATGGCTCAGATGTTAAGAGCACTGGCTGCTCTTGCAGAGGACCCTGGTTTAATTTTTTGCACCCACATGGTGGCTAACAATGGTTCATAACTCCAGTTCCAGGGAAATTCGCTGCTCTCTTCTGACCTTGGTGGGCATTGTATGACACAGGTGCACTTATGTATGTGTGTGTGTGTGTGTGTGTGTGTGTATATATATATATATATATATGTGTGTGTGTGTGTGTATATATGTGTGTGTGTGTGTGTAACACACACATAAAAAAAGTTTTTTTAATTAAAAAAGAGACTATGTTTATCTGCATAAACACCAAAACACCTTTGGTGAAATTCAATATGTACTACTGACATAAACTCAATACAATTAAAATCAATGCTTAATTAGTTAATGCAATAAAAGTTTTTTAAGCTAGAATTTTACTTAGTGGAAAGAAAGTTAAGGCATTCATATAAAATGCAAAAACAACAATATCATGATATTTATCATGGTTTCGATATTAAATACCACTCCCAAAGTTCCATATGCTAAAGACTGGATCACCAGCCTTTTGCACTAGCAGGAGGTTGGGCCTGGGCAGAAAAAATTACATAGAGTATCCCCTGGTTCCTCCCTCTCTCTTCCTTGCTTGCTTCCTAGCTACCATGTGATTAACCTCTGGACAACCAGACAATGCCAGACATGATAATCTGCCTTGCCAAAGGCCCACAAACAACAGAGCCAGTCAACTGTAAATTTAAACCTCTGCAACTATGAGCCAAAAGTAAAATCTTTTTTCCTATATTTATCTTTGTTATTTCCTCACAGCAATGGAAAGTTGACTATGTTAAGTTACTTTATCCCATTGTTGTGACAGACTACCTGACAGGAAAAAAACGTAAGGAGGGAATGGTTTTTTAGCTCATGGTTCAGGAGACAGTCCATCATGGTGGGAAACGTACGGTAGTAAGGGTGGTTCAGATCATGGCCTTGGGAACAGCTTGCTCCTGTTATCAGCAGAAGAGCAATCAGAAAGTTTGGGCCAAAAGGAGGTCTGGGATGTAACTCTCAAAGGTCCCTCCTCCCACCCTAGTAAACCACTATGTCTTTCTGCAGATATGATTATATGCTTTGAAGAAGCAAGAGAAACAACAGTAAAATAAAAGTAACTTAGCAAGGTACCAGATATAAAATTACCAAAACCAGTTGCCTTCACATATATAAATTATATGTGGTAAGAGGGTATAATGCAAGAAAAAAAATCACATTCCTAATGCTTAAAAATAAATTCAATCAGAAAAGCAAAAAAAAGAAATGGGTCTGAAGACATGGCTCAGCAGTTAAGAGCTCTGGCTGCTCTTGCAGAGGACCCAGGTTAGATTCCCAGCACCCATATGGCAGGTAACAAAATCTGTAACAGCAGTTCCAGGAGAATCCAATGCCCTCTTCTGACCTCTGCATGACATGAGTGCCCTTATATACATGCAGGCAATACACTCAAACACATAATCAGTAAAACAATTTTTTTAATTAAAATTCTAGAAACTACAAAGATATCAATCATTTCTGAAAATAGCAAACTTAAGCATTAATTCCTTGTGCTGGATAGCTTTAGTGTCAACTTGACACAGCTGGGTTGAAGGAGCCTCAATTAGGGAATTGCCTTCATTGGACTGGCCTGTGAGTGATGTGGGAGGGCTCAGCCCACTGTGGGTGGTGCCACCCCTGGGC